GAACGTAGCCTGCCAACTACATTCACGGCGCCGTGAACCTAGCCTGCAGACTACGTTCACGGCGCCGTGAACGTAGCCACTGCGAAACGTTTCTCCGATTTCGTAAATTTTGCAGGAGAGACAAAAAACTGATTTCAATGGCACTTAAGGGAAATTACTGCCTTTAAAAGCACTAGACGAAAATAAATGACTCTACTTTTAGGTATTCATATCAAAATTGCCTAAATTTTGTTTAAGACCTAGATATAGATCTATATCTAGATTAGGTCTAAACCAGAGTTATACAGATACACAGCTCACTTTAAGATTTCTAACTCTTTCCTGGGCAAGTTCTCCATAGAAAAATTGCTTCGAAATCTGGTTGTCATCCATTCTCTTGACAGGGCCCAGCCATCTCAATCTTCTTAAACACATGATTGTTTGTACGGTAGAATCACTGTGAGCAACAAGAGCAGCATCAGCGAAGAGAAGATCTCCCGCTGCTATTTTGTTCGGAGTGGGTATCCGTACAATTGTGCGAACAACTCTGTCTAGTTATCCGTACAATATTGTACTGTACAGTTGTGTGAACAACTCTGTCTAGTTATCCGTACAACGTTGTACACACAATAATAGTACTAAGTGCTACAGGTATCCGTACAAGTACAATAGTAGTATTAGTAGGCCTACATGCCCACAGGCCTACATGTTGTCTTTGATCTAGATCTAGATCAGTGTTCCCACATATATTGGAAACATCGTTCCAATATTCCACCAGCTGAAATTTTTAAATTTTTCGTCAGACCTCATCTGCCGATCTGATGCCAGCCGCCTCATTGATGGTGTTCCCCCAATGGAAAAAAAAGGCCCCCTCTTTGGCTATTCTCACCCGGTGGCCGGTGGGCGTTCACCGTTTTTGACTAGGCCAACCAGTGAAGCGTTCACCCTGAACCACAATTCTACACAGTAATAACAGAATTATAGAATTCTGTGCTGTGAACAAACGTTCTAGAAATCTATTACTACTGTTGTTAGTGTTAGCCTAAAAGCGTGCAATTTTGTCTGTGGGCAGTGGAGAGAGAGAAAGAGAGAGAGAGAGAGGAGTAGCGCGAGAACTTCCGGGCAAAACAAAATGGCGACCCGCGTGGGCTAGTTCGGCTCGATTCGGAAAGTTAAATAGCCGTAGCATCTTTGTAGACGACCAAATTAATTTAGTTTTCTTGTTCAAAATCATTTTTTAACTTTGTTTTGATCAATTTGATCGTCCACACCAATAGACAGTATTCAGAAAGAGACAGAGAGAGAGGGGGGAGGACAAGGAGTTTAGAACTAAAATTTCCGGGCAAAACATAATGGCGACCCGCGTAGTTCGGCTCGATTCGAAAAGTGAAATAGCCATAGCATCTTTGAAGACGATCAAATTAGCTTACTTTTGTGCTATAACGTAATTTTTTCTTGGCTTTTATCAATTTGATCATCCACACCGATAGACAGTATTCCAAAATGAGGAAAAACAGGTCTTGTTTCACACCGGGTGAGAATAGATTAGCCTGCGCTGGCAAGTCTCACCCGGGGTGAAAGGTAGATCGTTTTTCTATTCTCACCCCGGGTGAGAATAGCCACTTCCGTAATGAAAACTAAGTCTAGATCTGCGTTGAAACCGTGCTGTAAAAATATTTAAGCTTAAATCTACCTCATTCTGTGAATAGTTCTGATGGCCGAAATGACAGCATGTCTGCGTTAGAAGAAGTATTATATTTTGAGTGTGGGTTCGAATCCCCGTCCCGGAAGTTTCTTTTTTTTCTTCTTCTTCTTCGTCTCTCTCCTCCCCTGACTGACCAACAATTTACAGTCAAACCTGTGTAAGACGGCCACCCATTATCAAGGAGAAAAGTGGTCGTATAAGACAGGTGACCGTCTTAGGCAGGACTGATCAAGATGAAGAAAACAAACCATTCCCATCTGAAGTCGCAATCGAAAGTAGCTGCGTTGTTGTTTTTGTTGTTGTTGGTTTGTACTTTGTTTGTTATTTTTATTTTTTTGCTGATTTTGCGCAAGGGTGACAATAAAACGAAATGTATCGCCGGACGAGGAAGACTGAGTGCCATGTTAAAACAAACACGTGGGTCGCCACCACTCAGAGAATGAGAGACGCTTCTGTCGCAAGTTCATGTTGACGACCTCTGTTACTTTGTTACAGACTGGGTAAACAGTGACCACTCATCTCACTTATGATTTGAGAAATGAGTTCTGGGCGGGGCTTATGGGTTACCAGGGATCACACGCTTACACCTCACCAGCAGCTGAAAATTGGTAGCTATTGGTCAACAGTGGGAGGGGCCTATGCAACATGATCGGCTGGAGGGACTACCTAACAACAACAAGTGATTGGATTATGACGGCTCGCCCACAACGCCCGGGGCCAGTGCACTATTTATGACAAAACGTAGTGGAGTCACTAAGGTGGCCGTCCAAGACAGGTGTTTTTGCTCAGTGCGGTAGGGGTTGTGTGTTAAAATATGGTGGCCGCGGCCGCGTTGGACAGGTGCCCGTCTTACACAGTTAAATTATATAGAAAAAACGCAAGGGGGGAAATGGAAAGTGACCGTTTGTACAGGTGGCTGTCAGGGCAGGTTCGACTGTATTTCCCATAATTGTTTGTTTTGACTTCAAAGATTTCCACTCATGGTTTTCTGTAAAAACAAACAAACCTATAATAATATATATATATAGAATTTAGATCTAGTTCATATACAGTGGAACTCGGATTCAACGAGGTCGCCGGGCCCGACCTAAAATCTCGTTGAATCTGAGTGTTCATTATAGCAAACACGAGGTTCTGTGTAGATAATTACAGGCACTGAGCAAGTAATGTGTAAAGAGAAGTCACAAGTAGTGCCTGAAAAGCCTACACATTATGAGCTGTGTAAAAAAAAGACAGATTCGGTCAAATGCACACGCCTGTGTCATCTCGATTGTTTACCAAAAAGTTGTGTTGCTGTGTAGAGCCTAGCATACGGCAACTTTTGATTCCCTAGACCAACGCACAATTCATTACGCAGATCTACGTCAAGACTAGCTTATCATCAGGGGCGGCTTGTGGGGCTAAAAAGTGGGCGTGTACAAAATTAAGCAACAGCAGGTTGAAGATAGCCAAGGGCATCATAGTAAATGGGATGGTAATGGTAGGATCTCTGGGTTGGTGAAGGAAGACCTTATTATGCTTTTATTTTCATTCTTTTTACTTGTCGCTTTGATTTCTAGAACTAAATCTGTGCGTAGCTAAACATCAAGTTCTTTATTCTGCATTGGAACTGAACACTCGAGTAATAACTTTCACCCCTATACTACAAAACCATTCAAAGGCACAACTCATAGGGTGGTGACTTAAGTATGTCACGTTCACCTCCCTCAGGTTCACGGACACAGAGTCGCTTAAAATAGTGGCAAGACAATGAACCAATCACAATCCACTTGAGTACTCCGCTGGATTGCTCCGGGGATCACATAATTTTGGCGTTGAATGGTGTGCAGTCTATCGCGTTTATTTTTAGACTTCCTACTGTGGGCTATGTTTCATGGGTGCACATTTGAGATGTGCCGTCTTGTTAATATTAATGTACCGCCTAACTCGCTACGCGTGTCGTCATCGCTTGGGTCGATTTTTGGTCAGATAACCACTGTTGAATATTCTATTACGTTTAGTTAAAAGTTAAAGCGTGCGGCATGGCATAGTAGATGTTTTACGGCACTTTTGATACAGACATGACAGCTACAGCGCCAGCGAGGACCTTGTTTTGATATTATATTTGTCTAGTGTTTGTTTCTGACTTCTTTTATTTCTTGTTTGTGGGTGGTTTACGTAATAGAACATGAAAATATTTGGGCGGCACTGCACGACCGTGCTCTATGGACGAACCGCGCCTGCTTATCATTGTAATATTGAGCAGTTGCCGAGGGGAAAAAAAGACTGTGACGCGCTGGTATCTGCGACGTTCAACGCCCGGACTGCTAGTACCCCCCCCCCCCCTCCCGGACACATGCACACACAGTCGCATGTGAGCTGGCTGCCCATCGGACCCCGACACACACCAGAGTAGACACGTGCGCATGCCAGCAACGCATTATGACAAAAAGGCCGCTGATTGGTCGCATGCAATCGGCTAAGTGAATAATGGTTCACGATGCAGGTGCAATGGATTGTTTCCGGGAATAGATAAAGTTCGTTCTGGGAGAAAAATGAGCGAAGCCAAGTCTGCAGGGGCTGTTCACCCTGGAAGCGACCTCGTTTAATCCGAGCTCCCTGATTTAAGTGCTCGTTGAATCCGGGGTTTTTTTAAAAATTGATTTTAAAGAAGAAAAAAAAACGGGGAATCTATCTCATCTCGTTGAATCAGAGTTCCACTGTATTTTATAAATCTACTTATGTTTTAATAGAAGTAGATCTAGAAATCTAGCCTACTTTTCCTTTTAGGCCTACCAATTTATGCCTGGTTTAGACAGTGGCTATTCTCACCCGCCCGGAAGTTCTCGCAAGATCAACTCCTCCCCTCTTCTCTCTCTCTCCGTCTCTTTCTGAATACTGTCTATCGGTGTGGACGATCAAATTGACCAAAACAAAGTTAAAACATGATGTTAAAACACAAAAGTAAATTAATTTGGTTGTCTACAAAGATGCTACGGTTATTTAACTTTTCGAATCGAGCCGAACTACGCGGGTTGCCATTTTGTTTTGCCCGGAAATTCTCGCGCTACTCCTCTCTCTCTTTCTCTCTCCACTGCCCACAGACAAAATTGTACGCTTTTAGTAGGCTACAGTTGTAATGGAACGTTTGTTCACGGCACAGAATTCTACAATTTTTCTGTTATCACAGTGTAGAATTCTGTGGTTTAGGGTGAACGCAAAATTTGGTGAACGCGCAGCGGGTGAGATTAGCCACAAGACTCGCCTGCACTATTCTCACTCCGGGTGAGAATAGAGGTGGCCCCTGGTTTAAGAATTACATTGATGCTCAACCCAGGGGAGAACCAACTGGATGACTAGATCTAGAATCTAGTGATCTAGGCTTATTTATACCAACAACCTCCAAAATTCGAATAATTGTACGAATAACTTTATTTGGTTATTGGTACAATTGTATTAATAACTAGTTAGAGTTATATGCACTATTGTACCAATAACCGCAGCCTTTAACAAAAGCCTTTGCCAAAATGTGGGATACCCGGGTGTGACAAACGAGGTCCAAAATCAACCATATAGGCTTGACCCTATGCGAATTTAAAATTATTTTTTATTCGCACACCCGGTGTGAATAATATTAATTCTTCGAAGTGGCTAGCCGTACTTAAGTACGGCTAGACTGCCAGTCTAGCCGTACTTAGATCTAGGTTTGGCCCAATCGACTTAAGCCTGTTGTTAAGTACACAGGTCTCATTAGATCTAGATCTAGATCTAGTAATTATTCAGGTTCAAATACATGCAAGTCAGTAAGGCACCTTTTGGTTTTGTCTGAAATACAAATACTTTTGGCATTGCAAACTAAAAATTTCATTTACAATTCAGCCATCAATATTAAGTACGGCTAGCCTGACAGTCTAGCCGTCCTTGTACGGCTAGCCTGGCTGTCTACCCGTACCTAAGTACGGCTAGACTGCCAGTCTAGCCGTACTTATCTTAGGCCCTATTAACATTAGAAAACAGGAGGTTTAAAATACATAGGGACCTACACTGTCATTAAGGCACCTGGTTTCGTCTCAAATACAAGACAAATGCTTTAGGTACTGCACACTAAAAATGTATATTTACAATTCAGTAGGCCTATTTTTTGTAAATGGTCAGTCTAGTCATCATATTAAGACTTGAATAAGTACGGCTAGACTGCGAGGCTAGACTGCCAGTCTAGCCGTCATTAAGTACGGCTAGCCTCTTCCTTAATTCTTATGCGCACACCCGATGTGAATATAATGAAATATGCACACATCCGGTGTGAATAATCACTTCCAGTCTGAATAGAATAGATAGAGAGCCTGGCCTCGATCTAGAAATCTAAATCTAATCTAGATCTAGATCTAGAACCAGCTATTGACATCATTTAGAAATCTAATCTAGATCTAGATATCTAGATCTAGATCTAGAATCTAGATCTAGATCTAGATTCTAGATCTAGATCTAGACTAGCTAGATCTAGATCTAATTCTAGAGATCTAGATCTAGATCTATATATCTAGATCTAGATCTAGATCTAGATCTAGGTCTAGATCTAGATCTAGAATCTAGATTAGATTTAGATCTCTAGATCTAGATTCTATCTTAATGTCGTAATGTGAGAAACTCACCTCGGGTACCATTTGAACAATTGATTTAGGTTACTTGATCTATCTAGATCTAGATTTCTAGATCTTCTAGATCTAGATTAGATTATCTCTGGAGATCTACTTGTTGACTGTGTAAAAAAAGAAAATACAGTAGAATCTAGATCTAGACTCCAGATCTAGATCATCTAACCACACTGGAACCTGCGCCTATGACTGTTATTATTGTGACTCACATTCCAGCCCTGGGCTCTCCTCTGGCCAGTCAGTAGTAAAAAGTCCTGGCGGGAATCGATTCGATGCCCCGATACCTTCTTGATATTGCTACGAATCGATACTTTCGAAAACGATAGGGATGATACCAGAGACTCCTAATTATATATTACTTAAGAGCAGGGTTGGGTTGATATCAGGTCGATTTAAATCAGTTGATTTTTTTATTTAAATCGACTTGATTTATAATTTAAATCACTCTTTTCAAAATTATTTTTATTCAGTTTTGAACATATTTCAACATTCAGAATTCCTTTCATTGGTTTCATAAACAGATATAAGGTTTAGTAGACTAGATCTAATATAATCATGCTTAAAAGTCTGCTTTCCCCCCTTTCACTGTAAAATAATACAGTATTCAATTTACTTTTTTTTCCATAATTGAAATCAGAGCTGGGTTGATTTAAATCAGTTGATTTTTTTCATTTTAATCAACTTTTTTATGTATTCAGTTTTTACATATTTAAACATTCAGACTTCCTTTCCTTGGTTTTACTATACAGATATATGGTTTAGTAGACTAATATAACCGTGCTTAAAAGTCTGCTCCCCCCCCCCCTGTCACTGTAAAATAATACATTATTCAATTTACTTTTTTTTCCATAATTGAAATTAGCATTTTCTTTTTCTTTTTAGACAAACACAAGTGCGCGCGCACACATACACACACACACACACATACACACACACACACACACACACGCGCACGCACGCACACACACACACACACACACACGCACGCACGCACGTGCACACACACACACACACACACAGTAATAAAATGCAAGTATATCATATCTATGCATAATTAACCCCCCCCCCCCCTTCTTCCTTTTAGACTGACATTTTCTTCATTTTTTGTCTGTAGCCATTTCACTGATACAGCAAATAAAAGGCTTTCTTTCGCAGTAGCTTAAATTAATCATTAAGTAAAATAAAGACAATACATTTTGCATTAAAACAACATATTATACTTTTTGCCACCAAAAATCCAAAAACGTGTCGACATTTTTTATTTTTAAAAGTTAAAAAAAAAATCCGATTTAAATTTTAGAAATCAGATTTGAGTTTTAAAAATCGATTTCTATCTATTTATTTTAAAAATATATAAAATCACCAACCCTGCTTAAGAGTCTCTGATGATACTTTGTCGTTCTCAAGTCCAATCGAAACAATATCATCACCATCATAAATGCCAGATCTGCGACAGACATCGGCGATCATGGTTCTCCTTTCATTCCTTTACTCGGATGCTCTCAAAAAAGCTATGTTTCCGTGATCTTTCCCTGTTACCCATTTGTTTAGGTTCCTTAACTAAGTATGTTGTTCTGGGCCTTCCCCTGCCTCGCTTGCCCTCAATTTTGCCAGTGAGAGCTAGATCTAGATGTTCAAGACCTTTATGTCTATTTATGTGTTCCCAAAACTGCATAATTTGTCGTTTACTTCCTTAACACGAGCGTCTCACCTGGGCTTTATAAAGTACTAACTCATTTGATTTATTTTCCTTCACACGATACTCTTCGGAGTCTCCTAAGAAACCACATTTCTGTTGCTTCTATTTTATTTTCACTGTCTTTAGAGATAGTCCAGCCTTCACAGCCATATAGAAGTGTTGACCAAACATAGCATTTCAGAACTTTCATTTTGGTGTTCATAGAGATGTTTCTATTTTTCAGGATTGGGCTCATTTTATTGAAACTAGCCTCCCTACAAACATAGTGTATCGTTGTCTATGGAAGTGTTGCCACAACTACCTACCCAACACATACACTACATTGTGCAAAGCAGTTATAGAGCTACATATTACAGTGTTAGAGTTAGAGTCTGTGGCAGTGACCTCACACAAGCCAACTGTCGGTTTCTTGTACGCTAAGGTCCGGACTATACATGTACACATGTACATTGTTTCTTTCGGTGCAAACAGACACTCCTCGACTGTTTTGTTGAAGCAAAGACCAATGCACACATCAGTGATGAGATACCGACGTCCCGACCCACCTTTATCGATTAGAAATCCATGTACTTGATTAGCTAGATTCCGCCAAGGCTATAGGCCTAGACATGGATAACCAGCAGACCTTGTCAACTCAACGGCCTACACCTGAGGTATAACTTGCCAACTGAACAAGTAGATCATGTAGTGGGCACCGTGGTTTATCGCTCACGATAATAAGCGTATCCTGTTTGACTAGTTTTGTTCCTGATTAAGATGTATCAAATAGGCCAATAATAACTTGTTAATCTGGCCCCCCAGGAAATCGTGGTCTTGCGGTGCGGCCGCGTTTTTCGTCGAGTTCGGCAATGAACCCACAATTTTATGCAATTTTCGCAATTTCTTGCAATTTTAGGCAAAATAATCTCAACGCTTTAATTTTAACAGAATTTTAAATTTAAAATGGTGCAAGTAGGCCTACAGTCGAGCCGGTCTACGTAAATCATGGTTTCGGCCCAGCACTAGCCTAGCTAATTCTCCGTCTTATTTCTGTGGAACATTTAGCATCAGATGTTATCAAATATCCTAGATCTAAATATTTAGACTGTTGGACTAGTTTGATCTTTGATTACAACTATGCTTTGCTGCTTTTCTAAATATTACCATGCGTTCTGTTTTCTTTACATCGTCATTCAACAATGGAAATATCCGCGGTTCAAAAAAGAAAGGCACTCTTCGCCTATAAATCAACATGGCATCGAGAAAGACTGGTATTGTGCGGGAACATTTTGAGAAGGATAATCCTTCTCAGGTTGAGTGTTTATTATGCAAAAAACATTTTCATTCTCAGGTTAATGTGTTGATTTTGCGTGCCAGGTGTGTGTATTGGTAAAGAAAAAAAAATTATCAATGAAGTGCAAG